ATAGTAAGACTGCAATGAGAGGTTCATCATGAAATAACGAATGTGTGAAATGAAACAGATGGAGGCATATATTGAGAAAAGAGATAATATCACTAATAACAAGTCCGGAGAGTATATTTCGAAAATTCGATAGTATTGGGGAATGTTTGCATGAAGGGTATAAATTATGACGAATAATAATAATTGTAATAATACGCAAAGAGAAAAGACCAAGAAGGTTAAGGGGAAGAAGCACTCTTGGTGAGACGAATCATTAATCGAGGTTTGACCACGGTAGGAACAGTGTGTTCTTTTTGGATACAAAGTTGAGATCGATATTATTGCAACAGCTTCAGCTATGTGTAGGAGACGTAAGCGAACTGTACGTGATAACGACTTATGAATTCGGTACACAAGCTTGAAAGCTGTGTTGACGTCGATGCTATATCCAGTATCGACCAAGCTTTGTACGCACTTAATTTTCCCTGCTGAACCAAGTTGGTAAATGTTCTCCAACCTGCCTAATCCTGCGCCCTATACAACTTGAACCGCAGGAACAGTTGAAATAGTATATGCATGAAGAAGAGCTAAGGTTTGGTAAGACATCTTTGAGTTGCTGGGTGAACAGCGGACGGCTACTGGCCATTATTGTAACGATAACAGAAATTATTATATTTTATAATTGTAAGAACCTGAAGAGAAGGATGTATTGAAAAGAATATCCTTCATCCTGATTGACTTTTGATCCACGAAATGGTAATATTTCACACTATTAAATCTTATTCTTATGATCTTAAATCGAATTACATTCACAATTTAAACAGTTTGAGGTGAAATTCCACCACAGTTTCCTCTAGAAACTGAAATAATTCGGATCACAGTTGGCGATTCTCTTGATGCCACAAATGGCGATCAAGAAAGCAAGCATAGACGAATGATGATGAATACTGTTGACTGATTGACATGACTAGTTCGAATTCACTCACACCAACTGGTAATGATTGGATAATTTGAACTGATTTACCCCCTCTGAACTGAGCCGAACACGGTGCACAATTGATGATGTCGGCCCCAAACTAGCTAAACAACCGTCTGGTGTTTATACTATTGATATAAGTATAAAATTTGGGCACTGTGGGAGAGCATAACTCCATTATGGATAGGATTTTATTTTGATAAATCACACAGTTTTTGTCACACAGTAATATTAACTAATGACGTTTCGAGCACAAACTATTGCTCATAATCATATCAATTTATTCACACAACTTATTTTTTGCATTTATATACATGTGTAGAATCGATTAGATATTGGAATAAAATTCAGTATGATATAATGTACATTCAGAGAGAATAATAATAATATGAGTGTTATTGACCAATTACAATCAGATGTGAAATAAGACGAGTGTTTTTGAATTGAAATAGAATTTTGAGATTATTTATTATCCTCCTCTGATTTGACTGGCGGTAATAATATCTTCCACATTTCTGGTATTTACATTGAGTCATTTCTGTTGCAAATGCCTAATCAATTCTACTCATGTATATTAGAAAGTTGTGTGAGTGACTTGATATGATTTGTGAGCAATAGTTTGTGCTCGAAACGTGGTCATCAGTAAATATAACTGTATAACACACTCTGTGATTAAATATGATGTTATACTCTACCGCCACAGTGCCCAAGTTTTATACTTATATCAATAATTAAATCAGAATGCACATGTGAAGGCTTCCAGTTGCATATTAGAAGCTAAGTTAAATCTGAAACTAAGCAAACAATGAGCCGCGAAATGAGTAACAAGAACACTGGAAATAAATGTTCAGTGACAGATTGGGTTCAGGGGGAACATAAAGCTTCAACACAAAATCTCCATTTTGTCCTGCTTTCTGTAGTCCTTCTAACTTCGCTCCACGATTGCTAAATGGTCTCTCATCCCCTCCATGTCACCGAAGCGACACCAAAATCGTCCTTTCCCATTCGGGTTCGAGCGGAGCGACGTCGTTCGACGGTCTCCTCAGCGTGTGTCCAATCAATTCCTACTTTCTTCGGCACAATTTTTTTACGAATAGGTTCTTGATTAGTTCGTTCTCAGAGTTTCTTGTTGATGGTTCTTTCTGGCCAGCCATCCGATCTTCAGTATGGAGTCAGCGAAGACATTTGTTGATAAAATTCTGAAACGCGGCCTGACAGAAATGATTTCCATGCCGCATATTCCAAGTTTCTAATCCAAATAGAAGGAGTGACTAACTTAACATTGGTGTTGAAAATATGAATGTTGTTGTTTATGACGACGGATGTTTGTCTTGTCTTTTCGATTCTGACTGGTTTTGATATCCTTATGCATCCTGCCAACTACAAATGGAGCTTTAGAAATTATTTTTCCTGAGCACAAGTTTAGAATGAAACAATGTGCAAAATATCTCAAAAATGTCCGATCCACAGTATGTTAACGCAAGTTATAAGAACAACCAACACTGTAATTCGTAAAACATGACAATATCTGATGCATACCAATGAATAGCCTTCGTGTTAATGCATGAATATATAAGAGATGTTACTGACATACTCAATAATACGTTTATTGTCCATTTTGGTGTCTTGCTATGTGGTTGATAATCAACAGTAAGTATCAGTTCTCATTCCTGAAGATAAATAAGACTATCGGGACACGCCTCCGCGGAGTGTTGAGAAACGTAAAGCTACTCCTACGCATGCCTTCCTCAGATTTCAGAAATAGACAGATTAAAAACCAACCTAGAATTGTTCAGATATGCTTACCAGTCACTCAAATAAAGATCTAAATTAGAATAAATTCCACTAGACATTTATAAACTTCATTTCCAATATTATCTCTAAGCAGCTTCCACGTTACTCTGTTACTACCAACTTTATAGTAATTGGTACTGCTCTGAAGAGCTTAGGCATTTTTCAACGCTGGGGAGAAAAAAAACATTCTCATGAGACAAGCCTCTTCATTATAGTTTCAAAAAGTCCTCTCCTGCGTTAGGTGGTGTAAGATGGTGAGCGATACGTAGGTTAGGCATGATGCAAAAGGTAAGGAGAGTAAGTCAATCAGTGCAATTGTGAGGCTACGTTTATCGAAATGGCTAGGAACATATGTTGCGTATACCGATCCATCGCCTTCCTCGAAGGCCTTCGTTGGCTGACATCAGATTAGGTTGGAATAATAATTAGGGGTAGTCATTATAAAACGTGGTATCAGTCTTCTATTGTTGGTTTGAGCCACGTGACGATATGCAGACTGCCTCATCATCGTGCTCTTCAGGATGCTAAGAACCAATAGCTGAACACTATTAGTGATATGGTTTAAAGCCCTTCTAAACAACTCAAATGCATTTAGTCTTACAGGATTTCTTGAGCTGGTATCGGTTAGAAAACCATTGAAAAACTTGCAGGGAGTACTGGACGGCTGTTTCGTCTACTCTGGGACTCTTCGTCGGTACGCACCCACCGGGGTTCGAGCCCTTCTGGTTACAAGGCAACCTCGTATAACATTAAACCACTGGGACCCGATCCACCGGCCCATGAATTCTAACTTTTGTGAATTCACGACATAGCGCCACCCCTAGCCAATGTCTTCGGCGAGTATTTAGTCTTTGTTATCTCCCAAATCCATTTAATGTTCTTGTTACTATTGTCTCTGTTTAACATTTCTACTTCTCATGGTTTTCTTGAATCGCCTTTTTCTATACCTTTGTGTGTTACATGGAGTTTGGCAATTTGAACTGCTGCACTTCTATATTGAAACTCAGCCAATCAGTCATTTTAAAGAATCTTTTGATCGACAACAGAGTGAAAATATTTCAAATAGCTTTTGTTGTCTGTCTGGATTCAGCATAGAACTTGGCACCGAAGTGCAGCAGTTCGAGTTGCTACGTTCCAAATAGCACACAAAGGTAGATAAGAAGATGAGTGAAGAGAATCAATAGAGTTTGACAAATATAAGAGTGAAACAGAATGGGTAATGGTAGAAAGGAATATGAAAGATTACAGAGACTGAATACATCTGCGCTGGCCATTGACAACGATTTTGAGCCATGTCACCTATTGTCTCCAGCCATTGATTCCTAGAGTCCCGAGGGCCACAACCCGGAAGTCTGCGTCTCCCTACCTGACTCAGTTTAACTGTCAAGGATTTCATGGATTGATGCCATGTTTTTGTTTGGCCACCACTGACTCTTTTCCAACCTGCACCACCTATATCAGCTAGCAATGCCCGTCGGGGGAGGCGGTGGTTAGGCATGCGCAGCACGTGACCTAGCCATCTTAGTCTATTTAATTTTATAGCCTCAGCGATTGATTTTCCCTCTTTGCCCTACACTCTTCGCCTAACGTCAGCATTACTTACCTTATTAAACCACCTAACGTGAGAAAGAGATCGTAGACATCTATGATCAAAAACAGTCAACCTTTTTCCTGTCTTCAACTCGTATTGGCCATGTTTCAGAGCCATAGAGAAGGACGGAGCGAACTGCTGAGCAGTACACACGTCCCTTGGTTGATAGCCGGATGTCACGCCTACGCCAGAGATGGTGCAAGTTAGTTGTCATGATTGGTGCTTTTATTTTGCAGCCATGCAAAGTAGCTGATACTACAATCGATTTTTTTTCTATTCCTTTGTGTTTCGAGCTTGAGCTTTGACGTTTCAGTAGCAGTGGTGCTTATTCTCACAGGGTCGAGCTGCTATAGCCTCACACACACCCAAAGCTTCCCTCTCCATCGATTTAACTATCGAGTAAACGAGGTTTACGAGTTCATCGGTCGGCAATCAAACTCTGAATCGTGGTTGAAGAGCGTTCTATCACTACTGAACCATCGGCGACATTTGCCTTCTCTACCGCGCACCTACTTTGCTTGCGTGTCACTAAACTAAACTGTACTTACTTAGGCATATTTACGAAGACTTAGAAAATAAGACAAATTCAATTCATTTATTTACATATTTACAATTTTTTTTTATTTTTAATTGATCTCAATATATCTATAAGATATAAAGTTAGGCGCATATCTTATCGAGTGCAATAGTAAGAAAGTACAAAAGACCAGATGTTCTACTGGCTTTAAACGTTTGCCAACAACAAGTAGGATTCTTCAAATCTACTTTTCGTATCTAAAAATAGATAAAATGATAACTGCATAAAAAAGAAAATAAAAATATCCTATTCACATATACTAGTCAACAAAACAAACACTGGAAGAAGCAACAAAGGATAACAGGACTTCTAACTAGGTAAACGGAATACTGTTAGAGTATTATGAGTATCTTTGTTTAATTCCTTGAATAACCCTCATCTAGACATTTTTTCCTTCACGTTCTCAGTGGAACATAGGGCTTCAAGCTAGGGGCTTGAAGTTTCTTTATCAGTGTTTATTTTACAGTATGGGGTTGCTAGCCTCATGCCCAAACTTTCCTCTTTACCAGCATTATTTCTGGCTTAGCGAGGTAAAGGAGTCCGCCGGTCGGGGATCGAACCCCGGACCATGTACATGGTCGGCGAGCGTCCTAGCAGCCATGCCACCGACGCACCATCTAGACATTAACGAAAACAAAACACGTTGTTCAGTGAAGAGGCCCTTTTCAACGAATTCACTCGCCTCTTCAGCTGTACAATCCACTTTATGTGCAAGTTTTCATGTGAGAGGGTAGCAACAAAAGTGACGAGTTGCGCAGACATGATTGTTAACATTAATTCAATGTATGAAATGAGCTGAATAAATGTATTAGTATTAAATAATAAGACGCGCAATTTAATGAATGAGTTGTAATCAGGATGCGCGTAGAAACGAGAAGAAAAGTGGAATTATGTAAAAGTTCTAAAGAAATGCAAAAGTTATAAGAAGTTAGAAAGACAAGCAAACAATTCGATAGAAATCAGCACAGCTGCTATCCATGATATTAGAAGTGGTTGAATAATTTTCTTTTGTATGAATACCGCTGGTACCTCTGACTGAATGGCTAAGGCTTCAGTAATGCAAAGGAGACGAAAGCGTATTGTCTTTGCAGAATACTTTGAAGAGGCATTTGCTGAGATGGAACAACCAGTGTTGGCAAGATGTTCGATTATCGCACTCCTTATCGAACCACTACTGCCTTTTTTTAGCTGTGCAGGATAGTTTTTATCAATCCTTTTAGACAGGATACGCGTCGAACAACCAATTTACCTGACTCCATAGCAACAGGTGAACTGATATATGCACATAGAAAGTCATCTGATGCAAGATATTGTCCTTAAGGCTTCTGAAGACCAATGGACGACTGAAGAACACTACTCTTAGCATTGTTGAGGAGAGTATTCTTCTGAAAGATGCTGGATATGGCAAGTAAAGTATCCCTTGAAATCCAGGTTCATGTAAAATTTCTCTTTTCGAACAAGTATTGTTTCGTCCCTCTGAACTTTTGGTCCGATATTCTTGTCAATACATCTTGGTGGGTGACCATTTCGGATTAAGGTTTATTTCAGAGGATCTAGTTCTCCTTGTATGGTGACAGGAGTAGAGATGCATCAGATCCCATTGGCAAGGGATTTATTTCATTGTGAGTATACACAAGATAATAACTACGTTGAAAAACGATAACTAAATTACACGGAAGTATCAGTTACAACTTACTAATCACATACAACCTGATCATATGTGTACTAACCACACGCCAAACCCTGAAGGATCTGTTATTATACAACATATAGGCTCAAACCTCAGTATATGGAGTCAATATCTAATTTGTGATCTATTGGTTCAATGTACTTAACTGGTGAAGAACAATTATACCCAAGAAAAGTAAGTGACCCCTATGGACGACCTGGTACATCTGAAGGATGGGGTGCCTTTCTTCTTCCTCGCGAAAAGTCCTAATGTGACCACGCGTTTATAGCCTATGCCAGGTATGCCCTATTCACTGTCTTCATTCTGAGGGGGCAGGCGCTCCTTACAAAAGTGAAAGGGCGAACACGAATGCCTGGTGCTTACAATCAAACTAGTGGGCGTGTTGATCTAGGGGGAGCTAGAAACTCCTGACAGTAAACCTATAGTGTAAATGGACTACACAATCTGAACGGATCGAATAGCGTATCAACCTGTGTCGGTCACCGTCAACCAAGGGGTGCCTGCTCCACTCACTACATTGCGGATCAGAACCAAATAGTCAAAGGCCCAGGAAATGACCCCGGACAGTATCGCAGCTCTCACACAAACCATGAAATTTTGTGTGGCGCATCTCTTGCCCCCCCCTAACGTACCGAGTGTTTTATTAATAATAAAGTGGGTGTCAGCCAGAGTGAGAGATGAGACCACAAAAGCGAAATATAACTACTACCAGTACCTGATATTAGTTTCACAGAGTACTTGGCTTTAACTAACACAGTTATAAACGGTGATTACAAATCGAACATTTCCAATAATAAGCCCATTTTTCAGTAGGATTTCACTATTAAACAAACAATAAACTGAATTTTAGGTGCTCTATGACAGCAAAGCTAACCAATCAGGAAGAAGGTTTCGTAAATTTATTTTTACACAACAGTGGTCAGATTGCCTTGAGTAATCATCATATTCGACGTAAACCATCTCTTCTTTTGTTATGTTTTGTCGAAATTCATAATGCGAATCAACTGTTTCATATAATCCGATCCTTTATTTTATGCTTTATGCTAACTACAGACTTTAGAAAACAATTCTGTTTATATGGAAAGTTGTGAATATTACTCTATCGAATTATGTTTTATGAACCCCCAACCCCACTCCCAGATTTTGTCTATTTCGATGTCAATTTCTATTCAATTTTTTGTACCATTGTGGGATATAAGGGGTCAGAGTTAAAGAAGGAGTCACACACATCTAAGAGAATCCTCTCAAGCTATAAGCAAATTTATAATGAAGTTAAAGAAAATGGAACAACAGGGATTCTTGACAGACGTCAGCATATTTAAACATTCCCCTAGAAAGTTAACTGTAGTTTCTAAGATGACGAATGATCTATTTGTTATGAAGATTTTTCCACTGAACGCTACCTGCCAACTATTGATCAAAGGAACTACGACTTATTGAAGTAATCCTCTCAAAAGTGAATCAACTTTAAGCTTTATTATGAAGAGTTCTGAACAAAATACTGAGACTATATACGCAATGAATTTTGTTACTTTTGACTCCGATATTAAAAAAAAGGATAAATAACCACTGAAAGTTTTAGAAGAAGTACAACAGAATTTCTGAAGTTTTATATACAGTTATCTGACATATTTGCTCTCAGACACATTAGAAACCAATTTTATGGCAAAAATTATTTAAAACACAAGAAAATAAACTTCCCTGCCTGAGAGCAGTCCTTGCATTATAGGTGTGTACATTTATGACCTACTACATTCCTTTATTTTGAACGAATGTATAATTTTCCAAGGTTAAAGAAAAGTTTAACAATAAGATCGCACATTATAAAACTTTACCCACAAAACTGGTGAAGACATACGCTGCACACCCCAAGTTACTGTATACTCAGACTTTTGACAACGGTTGAAATAAGTGTGGTTAGACTAAGGCATGAGATTGGCTGATATTAGTTGAGCTGAGAAACCTCAGAAAATCGGCTTTTCATATATCCAAATTTCGTCCTCTATTTTTACGGACTTGCAAATGAAGCAGAACAGTCAGCAGTTAAAGGAGAGCTCTGAACACTATATCGAATAACCAGTTCTCTATCCGGGAAGAGATCAACACAGACGAAAGAAATGACAGTCAGAGGAACTTAATTACTAGCGAGGAGAAACAAAGGAAACACTGAGCTGACCCCTTCAAGAGACTCCTGAGACTACTGTCACCTACAGCTCGTCCAGAAATACGACCAACACCCATAGAACGGTCAGTGGACATCAGTCCTTCAACAAAAGCAGAAGTCTTGAATGCAATAAAGCCACTGAATGTCAGTCGGGAAGGCAGAAGAACCGAACAGAATTCCCCTGAAGCACTGTAAACATATATATATATATATATATATATATATATATTAGTGGATATCAAGCACTAACTTACCAAATGAGCTATATGCAACATAGTGCCTAAAGTCCCAAGGTAATAAATGCAACCGGCATCAGCATTAATTCCAACAGTGAGAAGACACGCTGTCATTCCCGTGTGAAAAAGGGCCAAATATGGTTTAGTGTTTTCTCCAAATAGAATGGCAGTTGATTTGACACCTATACGGATATCATCATCAATATCCTAGAAGAAAAATTTCCATTACAAATCGAACATCAAATAAAGGAAAACTTTAACAAAGAACTACACGTGCACAAACCTGATGTGCATATATTGTGTCGTAAATCATCGTCCAATTGAGGCCAGCAAGATACAGAGGAAATGTGACATAAGGGTTAATGTAACCCACGACGGCAGAATAACCCAGCAAAGCACCCCAGTTGAATGTAAGACCTATACAGAACAAATAAACCTAGTCTTTAACTTGTAAAACATACAATGAAAAGGTGCTACGGGTTTTCTGGGCAATACTAGGCTAGCAAATAAAACAAATACCAAGCAATACATGAAATCTACGTAACTCTTGAAAAAAATTTAAAAATGCCAGAGCGATATGAGCAAAAAAGTAGCTAACAAATTATCCTCACTTGATGAGAATATATAGTATCGTACGTGCAAGTCCAAAACACTGCAGCTAAATACAAAGGAGCGCACACGGAGAAAAGACAAAAACCATTTATTGCGGAATAGCCAAGCCAAACACCCCAGTTCAATGTTAAACCTATAACATCACGCCACACAGAGGTCATAAAATATTCTAATGATTCTTACCAAGAACAAGTTGCGGCCAATAAGTGAATCGTTTAAACAGGGGATACGTAGTAACAGGAACCATAGACAGGAAGCCAAGAAATACACTTGAGGAAATAATTTGTAGCAATGTCAAAACCAACCTGTACCAGTTCAACTGCAGCAAGATCACAAGTGAAGCTGATAGCTGCAAGCCAAGAAATGAAAGAGCTTGGAAGTACGTAAGGGAACCCGAAGCCAAAGGACGGTCTTTTGTGCGTTTAACAAGCTTATCATACTTCTGATCCCACATATCATTTATAGTACATCCAGCGCTTCGCATCAAAATGGATCCTATACCAAATAGGGCTAACATGTAAAAGTCCGGTAGTTGTCCAGGTGGTGTAGCCACTGCGATGCCCCATGTGCAGGGGAGATAGAGAAGCCAAGTACCTGTCGGTTTACTGAAACGACCAAGTTCGAAATATGACTTAATTAAATTGGAAGGTTTCGTGGATTGCTTTTCACATGAGTTCCGAATATAACAGGATGTGTGAAAAAACTGGGCACACCCGATAGGTCTGAACCTAAGGAGATTTTTCAGCATTCCATGCACCGTTGCAAGATACCGACTCAATGTCAATTAATTTGATAGATGAATACATACAAAACCAGTTGTGGTTCGTAAGACAATGCTGTAAAGATACAATACATAAGGTTATATGTTAATATGACCCACAAAATTTATTCAACATATTTGAAATCTTACCTGATTTCCGCATTTAAAAAAAATATGAAACAAAGTTCGTTATTTAAAAATTCTATATTTGTAAAAGAATTTCTATGTCATGCAAGCCAATTTTGAGCTCATGTAAATGCTGATGACAGTTGGTTTAATTACTTAATTTCTTGCCTTGGAAATGGATGAATATCGGGTAATCAATAATATGACAAGTTATCACAGTGGAAAAAGTGAACAAGCTAATTTGGTTTTTGAGAAATGCACCAAAAATAAGGTCACCAAAAGCACATCCAATAAAAATGTCGGTGTGAAACACTATCAAGGAAAAATATAGTGATACACTGAACTTAAACGAAAATGTATTACCTATGCATCAATTCGCCACAACTCAAACAGCCCAGGAACACCAGTTGGTATGTGTAGCACAAGCTTAATGGTGATACCACACATCAATGGTTTGCAACCCATCCATATGTTACTTCACGTCACTTTATATAGTCTTTGAAAACTTTTCTTACTTGGGATTAGATGTAAGAGTAGAATTTCATATTTGGTAGATCCATTTGATATAATAAAATTATAGAATAGTAATATCTCGATGGCGATTTGGTCATATTAATCTCATTCGGGTCTACATGGCTTGATGTAACTAAACGTCCGTGAGTTTTTTGACCAAAGTGCATCAGCGTGGTTAGTAACCGGAAGAGCCCGTTGATCAGAGCAACCGGTATGAGCCAATGAGGCTTCCTAAACTGAGCTGATCCGAATAAATTGCTGACAAAGTAAGACTAAATTCTCAGTCTAGTGTATAGACCGCTGGTAAAAATAAAATACCATAACCCACCAAATAACATCTCACAACCAATAAAACCGTTCCAATCTCATCACCCATATGGGTGATATCTGATTCACGAGCTAATCGCCAATAATAATAATAATAATAATAATAATAATAATAGCTTTATTCCAAAAACAGTACTCATGATACAGCAAGGAATTTTCAGCATTCAGTACAATATTGCATCTAATTTACTCAAAAACGACAAAAAAATTAAGAATACACAATACATAATAGTAATAAAACGATTGTTGTAGCAGCTACGTAGCAAAATACTGTGTGCCATACGGAGAAAAATATGTATAAAGTACAAAACTGTAGTAATAATAGTAATACCAACTAAAATAAAATAGCAGAGTAACGATTTAAACGATAGAAAGTGTGACACCATAAAATACAGAAAGATAAACTATGCAAGGGTCGATTCACTGTGCTAATTACATAGTAACTTGTAAGTTTCACGTCTAACAGAGTCTTCGTCACATAAAGTACGCGCTAAATAGGGTATTGTAGAATTTCTGTACTTAGTAGTACGAGCATATATCTTTTTATATTGACTTCTCGTCCTACCTGATGAGATACAAGGGGACAGGTGTGAATAAATGGGGTGCAGAGGGTCTGACAGTATAGCCTTTGCCCACTTCGTACAGGAATTTATATGCCTCTCGACTATAGTATTAGCGAGCTCATGCAGTGGCAGACCACAAGCTCTACTCACAGCATTTAATACTCTTCGTAATATGATATAATCTTTTTTGAGAAGCCCAGGAAAGATTAATGGAGAGCAGTAGAGTACAATAGGTAAAATACAGGAGTTTAAAAATTGCAAAACTAAAGGTTGGTTGATACCTGATTGTCTTAACTTTTTAATGTAGAAGGTAAGACGAAACATTTTCTTAGAGATAGATAAGATGTGGGATGACCATGAAAGGTCAGAGGAAAAAACTAGTCCAAGGTATTTAATACTTGATTTGGTTTCAATTTCCGTGCCATCTATGCTACAGGCATCATGCGAACTAACTAGTTCAAGTAAGTCACGTCGATGCTTGAAAGTAAAGTCAAGCGCCTGACATTTGGAAGGATGTAATATAAGACCATTTGACTTGGACCAGTTGTTGATGTCCAACAGAAAGCTATTAAGTTTGGAGCTGTCAGACTCGGAAGTGATAGGCAGTGATACAGTCAGATCATCTGCATATTTGACAAAGTTAGTTTCGTTTGAATGAGGCAGGTCATGTAGGAAGAAAGAAAAAAGAAAAGGAGAGAGTACAGCACCTTGTGGAACACCGGATTTTGTAAGCGAGGTAGAAGAAGATTTGCCATTATATACAGTATACTGCATTCTATCAGAAAAATAGGAATGCAACCAACTCTTAGCCCAGGATCCTGTTTGTGTCAACGATAGCTTATTTAACAAAAGGCCCCTAGGTACAGAGTCAAAAGCAGATGTGTAGTCTAAGAAAGCACTACGAACATATTTAGCACCTTTGTCTAAACAAGAGACAACATTGTGATATAAGACAACCGCAGCATCCAAGGTACTTCTACCATGTTTGTATGCAAATTGTTTAGGATCATTAAAAGGTTTCAAAGCGGGTTCAAGACGAAGTAAAAGTAATTTTTCCATCAATTTTAAAAAGGGGGAAGTAATTGCAATTGGCCGAAATTTAATATCAGAACCAGAAGATGGTTTTGGTATAGGGATAATTTTAATGTTTTTCCATGCAAAAGGTAGAACGTTACCGGAAAAAGAAGCATTAAAAATGTTAGTAAGAGGATAACACAAAATATCAGCACAATTCCTGAGGACAATGGCAGGTATGCCATCAGGACCAAGGCTTTGAGAAGGCTTAAGAGACCGGAGACATTTAAGCACATCAAGGGTATTAAAACCACTAAAATTATTGTCAATATGATTTGTATCATTTGGAAGGGTATCAACAGAAGAGCGTATGAAAGATTTATTAAGAGTGTCAACATTAAGAGATGGAACAGAAATACATCGCTTACCGTTAGTAATTTCTTTAAAAAGTTTCCATAAATTAGAAGGGGTTTTACATGACAAAAATCTTTGATTATATAAAACACTTAGTCTTTTTATTTCCAGTTTTATCAGAATGTTTAACTTTTTACACCAGGCTTATCATTAGTTTTGAACAACAGTTCTTTATTTCTACGTAGCTTTTTGAGATATGGGGAAGATAAGCGATCAAATCGAATGAATAATGTTTCTTTAGGACAACATATTTCAAAACAGAATTTAAGATAATCGGTAGTGTTTGTGATTGTTTCATCTAATGTTTATTCTGTAAATAAGTCTCAGTTAGTGTCTTTCAACATGCATCTGAGCTTGTCTAGGTTGTCTTTTGAGTAGCATCTCCGTTGAACTTTACTGTAGAGGTGAGAAAGGACACCTATGTGTGATTTGGAATATATTTTAGGCAGTACACGTATGATGCAGTGGTCAGAATTAAGTAGAGGAGCACGTTTGCGAGTTTCATATATGCCAGCATCATATGCCATCATCGAAGTTACTTCACTTTAAGTTAGAACTAGCGTCTGGGTTAGGGAATAGGCTGGAATTTGACTATGGGATTGAGTGTCAGAACTAGGTTCAGGATTAGCGTGACTGTGTCTATTTCCATTCAATTGTTCAGTTGAAATATGCAACCATATGTTTTAGTATTATGCATGCGTATTAATGGCTGTAGCCACCCAGCTGTTATTTCCTTCAGGCGCACAACCTAATGTGGGAAAAGATCTCTAAGCCAGGCCCGAACATTCTGCAATGCGCCCTAATAATCAGAATGCGCATTCTGATTATTTGTATGTCATTTAATAGGTCGTCCAATTATGTCATTCTAGTTTATCCTGAACTAAAATCAGGGTTTAGTGAGACAAAATGAATAACAAAAATCATAGAATCTATCGAAAATCACCAGGATGTCCACGAACCTTAAGTACACAACATGTTGCGACCAAAATTTGAAAGCACGCGTAATTACATTCAATACCCAATATCCAATATCATTTTTACGAGCTAGTATAAACCAATTTGATTTCTTTGTGCTCGCCTCTTGATTGTAAGCTGTAGGTTCCTGATCTTCTGTAAACTTCTGCGTAGCTTGTCCCGCTACTCGATTGTCGTAGCTTTGGTTGACTCCAAAGGGAATAGTGCTGGGATTAATTATATGTGGTTTGTAGTATGCGGTGTGTTAACACGGTGTTGCTACTGTGAGTATAGTTGGTCATCCTATACGGTCGAAAAAAAGAAGGGAATAATAGCGGATATAACTAGTGTTGGTTAAACAGATTAAAAAGAGAATGAAAACGTAAAGACATAGTTTATGAAATTTATAAGTGATATATATACAGCACATCCATGTGTACACACATATCTACATATCAGTAATAATAACAATAGTGCAAGGGATTTAATAGCTGAAGTAGTCAACAGAGTAAGACAAGGGAGAATGTGAAGAAGTGAAACGATGAGTTAGGGTATCCACCCTACAATCTTCGCAAGATTGAATTATGATGACATCGTATAGCAGAGAGAAGATCAACTATAGGCCCACTGATTCTGCATCATCAGACTTCTTTTTCTGTTTCTACGAAAATCGAGGCTTACTGCAGCTGTGCTAGACCATTACTGCTTTCTCGTTGGTAATTTTAAGAATGCATCTAAGCAAACACATTACTCGAGGAGAGTGAATGGTATTAGTATCAGTGTCGTCTTTAAAAAAAGTTATAGCAATTCGGTTAAGAATTAGCATTCCCTCACTATAAACTGCCAAAAAATTATCGATATAAGAATAAAACTTGTGCATTGTGGTAGAGTGTAATTCCATTATGGGTAAATTTTGTTTTGATAAAGTCTAACAGTGTTATACAGTAATGTTTACTGATGACGTTTCGAGCCCAATTTATTGCTCATAATCATATCAAGGCAATCACATGACTTCCTAAATTCATTTATATAGTTCCATTGTTTTTCTCTTGATTTTCACTTGATCTACGCGGAAAA